AGCACGGGATGGAAAAGGTTTCTCAGTGGTAGTTGAAGGTTCAGGGCGCTTATTTTGGCTGCTTTGTTTTTTGTTGATCGTTTTTCCACTCGTATAACCCGCGGTACACAGAACAATCTTTGCAGTGTTTGGGTTTTAGGAAAAGAAATTTTGGGATGCAAGGCATTATGTCTTGTGCGTTTGGGTGAGTGTTGGAGCAGTAGTGCAACAGATTTGCTTGGCCCGCAGTGTCTTTTCTTCAGGGGCACCCGGCGTTCGCAATAGGCCTGGCTGCTAAGAAACAGATTTTGGGAGCCGGGTCTGGTTTGGATAAAGTAAAGTTTAGACTAGAAGAGTTGGAGCACCGGGCTAGCCAGATGATTTCGTGCAGATGATCCTGGAATGAGAAAACAAAAAGCAGTCCTTTTTGGCAAAGTCTTTGACAAGAGATAAGCAGGTTAAGACATACCAACGTTTCGCAGAAAGGACTTCGCGTGCACGCCTAGTGTCAGTATCGAAGTTCATCAGGGATGTTGCAGAAGCCTCTAAGCCTCATTCCTGAATCCGGGCCACGACAACTTAACCTAAACCTTACCTGTAGCCCAAAAGACCGACTTTTTTCGGGAACTATATATAGAAGCCATAGTAAGGAATCCCCGAAAGGTAGGTCTTTTCGGCTACAGGTAAGCTCTAAACCCTAAACCCCTAAACCCTAAGCCCTCCTAAAACCTGCAGCCCCCACGGTAGGCAGGCTTCTCTGCACGGCAGCTTTGCGAGGTTCCTTCGCAGAAGCGATCGATTTCGAAGAAGAACTTCTTGGGCTTAGGGCAATGGGTTCCTGAGTAGGGCCTTTTTGCTTGGTTTCGCCTTTTGAATTTTAGGGTTCCCTCACCGAAAGGCCCCAAAGTAGTTCCGTTTTAGGGTTCATACATAAAATCCTATAAGGTAATCCCAAAAAGGAACTGCTATGGGGCCTATGGGTATTGAACACGAAACCCAGGAAAAGGGGGACCCATATTATAGGGGCGATTCAGGCCCCTAGAAGTTCTTGAATTTAGGGCATGTGAGGTTCGAAACTTCAGGGACCTACCAAACGGTTTAGGGTTTAGGGTGTTGCTAAACTTTAGAAGCCCCCTTTGCCAGAAGGAGGTGTGATGCCACGGCTTTTACTGTGGCTACGCAGCGCTTTGCTGCGCTTGGCTGCGCTGAGTGCTCTCTCTCTCTCTCTCTGTCTCTCTCGCTTGCTCTCTGGCTTTCTCTCTCTCTCTCTCTCCCCCTCCCTCCCTGCCCCTCTGTTGTATCTCTCTCTCTCTCTCTCTCTCTCGCTCGCTCTCTCGCTTTCTCTCTCTCTCTCTCTCTCTCTCTCTCTCCCTCCCCCCTCTCTGTTGTCTCTCTTGCTCTCTCTCTGTCTCTCTCTCGCTCGCGCTCCCTCCCTCCGCTCCGTCCCTTCCTCCCCTCCCTCCGTCACAAACACCACCACCACCATGGGTACTACTACTACTACTACTACTACTACTACTACTACTACTACTACTACTACTACTACTACTACTACTACTACTACTACTACTACTAATACCATGAAATTGTGCTGATGGCACAGTTGCGAAGCAGTTTTCCATGCTAATTACCTCAGCGCGGCCGTAGACGCAATTGTCGTTGCTGTACTTGTAGCCTCCAGTCGTACTAACTACAGCCTTTTGCACTTCTCTCGTGGCTCCAGCTAGTTGCCAAGAGGCACGCTTCCCGCAGGTCTTACGCACTGGCATATTCCTCATTGTTGACCCCAAACCTCGCACCTCAAGCCATTCATTACACTTTCGAAGCCCGAGCTGACCCAGCGCATTCCTTTCAGGGATTATCCGACAGAACTGAAGGAAGAACCCTCACCCTGACGTGCCCCTCTTGCTTGTGAGGCTGGCTTTTCCTGGAATGCCCTGCGAGGTGCTGGGCTGACACTGCGAGAGCTGCGCCATGTGGCTAGCCGTGCACTGGGCTGCTTGAGGGTTCGGGGCCGGTGGGTGCAGGGCATGGTTGGCAGCAGGCTTGAGGAAGGTTGCCTGGCATCACTAGATGTAGGAACGTGTAGGCAGTGTAGGAATGTGGATGTTGGGACGTGGGGCTGGAGGTCTCTGCCGGATTTCCCAAAAGCAAGACCATACCATATAATAACAGTCACGTAACGGTCCAGTGAAAGCGACTGTCTTGCTCAGCTGGACGGAATGAACATACGATGTTCGCGAATGACGAACGGGAGTCTTTATGTCCCAGACATCGAATAGTTCCCACAGTATCGGTAGCACATATAGGTTGACACCTGTTGAAACCATGCATTCTGAGAACATTCATTTTGAAACAAACCGCAGGGGATGTCAACATGGCAAATCCCAAAGCCTGCTCTGTCTTTATCCGCGATCATTACGGCTGGGACCAGGAGACCGTTTCGAGAGGACAGAAGTAATGAACGGAGCCAGCCAGTGTCCCAAAGAGACACCAGGTACCACACAGGAAAGGGTCGTGTCGTGTGAGTCTTAAGACCTTTCTAGATTCAAGAAAATGTGGCGATGACGATTGTGGCTGTGATGGTAGCGACGATGACTGTGTCAATAATGCGAAGACAATGGTCATGAGACAGGTCACGGAAGTCTTTTCAACACCAGGGTAAGACATTCACTTTAGATAATGCCAAGTGTTGCAGTTGCAAGCAACCGAAGGAACGTAACGAGCAATCGCAAGGCAGGCTACCTGGCCGAAGACTTCCTATCCGGCGCTGTGGACCTTCGGGAGCTGAGATCCTTGGGCTTCAGCGCCCGAGAGCTGCGCGAGTCCTTGGGTCCAACAGCAGCTCGGGAGCTGCGTGCCGCAGGCTTCACAGCCACGCAGTTGAAGCTTGCAGACTTCGACGCCTGGCAGCTGGAGGAGGACGGCTTGGGAGTGTAAGGCCAACGACACCCGATTAACCAGGTTTGGTGTCCCAGGTCCCAGACTCACGCAGAAGCACCTGCTGTGTTTTAGCAGCCTAGAAAGTCGCATCGTTGCAGAAACCATGGAAAGCTGTTTCCAGCATCATCATCACAAACCACGTATCAAGATGGCGATGATAACGCTGATCAGCATTTCACAAGCAACTGCACCCTCTCTTCATTCGGTAATACAGCCATCCGGCCAGCAGCACCGTTCTCGACAGGACGGTGCCTTGCAGGACTACTATACGTAACCTATTTCTATACACGTGACCAGTCAGATGCACTTGAAATCTGTATAAACAATCGCACACACACACACCTACCTGCACACATGCTTCTCCTCCTTTTGCCATATGAGTGTCGGTGTAAAGGCATGCATAAACAATTAAAGAGAGAGAGAGAGAGAGAGAGAGAGAGAGTGAGCAGCACATCTACGTAAACTAAGCTTATCCCTCAAGGCTGGCTGCAGCATCCCCGAAATCCTGGATGCCGGCTTTTGCGCCCAGCAAATGCGCTACACTTCCCTCTCTGCCGATGGTATGAGGGACGCCGGCTTCGGAGCGAAAGAACTTTGGGAGGCAGGGTCTACTTTTGAAGCCAGGCTCATTACATACATATGAACTCCCTAAACCCTAACTTCAGGGTCGAAACCCTAACTGATTACAAACATAAGTTCCTTTGGGTTTCTTAGTGGTTGTATACGATAAGGGGACCCTGGATTCTTAAAGGGTTGGGTAATAGGTTCTGGACGGCCGGTGAGGCTATGAGCAGTGTCTGGAGTTCCATCGAAAGTTTTCCTCCTAGTACTACCCAGACCCCCAAAACCATGTAGAATTTTTGCCTTTTATAGGTCTTGGGCCATTATTTTACTTCTTTTTTGGTGGCTTTGGTAGGGGTCAGAGGTGAAGGTTTCAGGCTGTCCTGCTATCCACATGGTCCAGATGGGTGTTTCCGAAAATATAATACAGCACCCTAAATTCCCTAAATAGTAGGATCCTTGTCAAAAGGACCCAGTACCCTAAGTAGTAGGATCCTTGTTATACGGACCCCAAAGACAAGGTACTCCAAATTTTCGGAAGCTCCCAGGTGCAGAGAAGTGATGGTTCAGATGCAGAAGAGCGACCCTAAGCCCCAAGCCCTACACCCTACATCCTAAACCCCAAACCCTAAACCCTAAACTGTTCAACCGAGCATCCCTGCAATGCGGGCTTCGTGCTTGCTAGGTAGGAGGGAAAAAACGCCCTAAACCCCAAACCCCAAACCATGTGACGGTTCAGATGCAGAAGAGCGACCCTAAGCACCTAAGCCCCAAGCCCTACACCCTACATCCTAAACCCCAAACCCTAAACCCCAAACCCCAAACCATGTGATGGTTCAGACCTTCGGTTCAGGCTCAGGGTCCAAGGTGCCGAAAGCGAGGCTGGGCCCCCTTGAAGGAGCCCCTTTTTGTTGCTCAGCTTCAGCGGTGCAGTTCTCAGCGTGCAAGGGCCGGCGCTGTTTTTTTTTTTATGCGCCCCTTGCAACAGATATTGCTCTCGATACTCTCTCTCTATTAATATATATATATATATATATACACACACATATATATATATATATACATGCATACACACATACAGCTGAAAAGCAGCTTCCCTCCCGAGCACTTGCCAGGGGCTTGCTAATTCTCCGGGATCGGACGATGCTGATAGACCCTGAGCCCGAAATGCCTCGCCTGGATTGTCCGAGCGTGAGCGCCGAAACCCGAAATGGCAGGCGGGCTACAGCCGAAGGCAGCTGGAGTTTCAGTTCACAGAGGAAGAGCTGAATGAAGCAGGCATCGGAGAAGCTTGCGACTCTTCAGTTTGTGTGTTCAAGCATGTCGCACAAGTAGCCAAAATAGCTGAACAGCCCCCAGTTTGGCAAGTGTTCTTGTAAACACAGCGGAAGAGAATGAGCCGTTGAGACAGATCGGACGATACTGAGTCAGGTCACCCGGGATCCTTAACCACGGAGCTCCACTCTTCGCCCATCCTGGAATCGCCGAGCCCCAAACTCCTCAGCCCCAATCCCTAGATTGGATTCCCCAGCCAAAAACCTCACAGTAACCCCAAACCCTAAACTTCTTCAGGCCCCAGCCCTTATGGTTAAGGATTTTTGGGCTACCTCTGCAGCTTAAGGAACGAGAAGACGAAGCAGAGCTGCGCCAAGTCGGTCTGCTGGAGAACAGCAGGCGGGGAGGTGACGGCATCCAGAACTTCCTTACGGCTTCGGGCTTTTCGATTAGAGGCCATTAGGGGGGATAACATTTAAGGTTTTAGCGTTGGGGCTTTCGGGGAAACTTTGAGGCAAGGACCTGGCTAGCCGACTGGCCAAAAGCGAAGCAGCTTCGTACAGTGGGGATGTGCCTTACTGCACAAGAGTTGAATCAGGAATCATCGTCATGACAAGCATCTTGCTTCTTTTGGACAGAGGAGGGTTCCAGACTGTTCTGAGTCCTAACTTCCTGAAGTTAGGGGATGTAGATGGATACATGAATGTTTGAGGCTTGCTCCTCGTGCTTTAGAGAATCCAGAGAAAGTTCCCCCAAAAGCGACGTGCAGTGAGAATCAGATGTATCCGAATCCGTACTTCCATTACTTAGCTTCGTCTTTGGACGGCTGCCGGAAGCATCAGATGGAAATAGGGTTTCTTGAAGAGAAGGCGAGCTCCACCCTGACAAGGTACGCTTAGTTTGATGCTGACTACATCCAAAACCACGACTCCTAAGCCCATCAAAGCATCAATGCTCCTTTTTCTAACCCTAAACCGCAGCTTGCCACAACCTCAAACCACAAAGCCCGAAGACTCATCTCCAGCCAATCCACAAACGGATCCAAACCCTGATTCTCAATCGGAGGCCGAAATGTCGTCCTGAGGACAGTGGCCTGAGTAGTCTAAGCACAGAGCAGGTCTCGCAAGTGGCCTTGCAGTACCCGTGGGGTTAGGGTTCCAGGCTTGGGCATCGGCTAAGTTTGTACGCCAGGAGGACAAAGGTTGCCGCAAGATGGGAGTTTCCGACTGCGGGGGACCTTATTTTGGGGTCCCAATAAGAGGGATCCTACTATTTCGGGTGCTGTATTAGGGACCCCTATTTTCGGAAACGCCCATATTGTCGTGGGGCTTGAAATTTGCAGGTTTGGTGGGATGTCGGGGGCTCGAGGATTGAATGACCGGTGGTGAGAAGTCTAAGGTTGCCACATTCGGTTCAAGGTCACTGCGCCATGCGTTTCACCCGAGTAACGAGCTTCAAAGGCGAACGGAAAATCACTTTCCACATAGCATAAGTACTTTTATGTTGACGATGCGAGTAGTGCTGACGTCCACTGTGCCCTGCGTCGCATATGTGAGGTGTAATTCGTCGCGTGCATGAGTGCAACAAGGACCTTACCTTTTCTGACTGCTGCTGCTCCTTGCTGCTGATTCTCTAGCATTACACATCCTAGCACATTGGCAGCAGCAGCACCTCCTCCACTATGACTCCGGCAAACTGAGCGTAGTTTTAGATGGGATGTCATCATTCATTCATCATGGCTATCACATTCACCGGCCTTCATGTCACTTCTCTGTGGCATGGCATGCGGAAAGCACCCTCCAAATACAACGAAGCCTGCAAGCCCGAAACCAAGACTAAATCTTATCCCACCACATGCTTAAAGCGCTGAACCCTGATCTCCCAAAGCGGGGATCCTTTGCACCCTCGAACATAGGAGCAGTTGATTACGAGCATGACTGCGTGGCTTCAGAATTTCGCTTTGGCTTAGTGGCTGAGTCTAACCTTTTGGGGTTCATACAATCATATAGCCCTACCATAAATGAAAAGGTTAGTCTTTTTTGGGGGCTAGGGTCATCAACCCCTAAGTTGGAGATGTAGTCTACTTGAGCTGTTGCGCTGGGGGGCGCCTTGCAGGTGTCGGAGTCGGATTTCGGATTCCAGTCCGGCAAGCAGCAGTAATGATAACAGTAGCAGCTATTAGTATGGTTGATATTACTTAATGTTTGGGATTATTATTGGTGTCCTTATTCGTATGATGATTATCAATATCTTCACCAGATTAGTATTTTTCTTGTTGTCATCATTATTTGCCGTGATTGAGAGAGGGCTGTTTCAGCCACCATAGGAAAGACGAGAAGCCCTAGGGAAGCCCTTACGTTCGAAGCTGGTCAGGGCAGGCCTCAAATCGAACAGATCTCAGCATGACAACCCAACGTAGGGTTTGGGTAGGGTGTAGGTAGGTCGTGAGTGCAGCATGGAAAGCCACAGCTGTCCTGGCGTGACCTTGCCAAGCCAGTTGCAAAAAGGGTTTGGGGTTGCCGGTTTAGGGTTTACTGGGTTCTTGCTAAGGAACTAATTTAAGTTACCATAATATGGAAACTATATTGTTTACTATAGATCCCTATTATGGCAACTGAAATACCCTAAACCCTTAAGGAGCCCATATAGGTCCCCCAAAGGAACCCTTACAGATCCCTATTATGGTAACTCAAAATACACTCCTTCACAAGAAAATCCCTAAACCCTAAACTTAGGCCCTGTGAGCACCGAAACTTAGGCCCCGGAGCTTTAGAGCCGATGCCTTGCTCCAGGCACCCTCGTATGGTGAGCGGAGTCCGTCACCATCCGAGGCCTGCACGCTCCCTATTCATTTTGCTTTAGTCGCTCATTTACTTCCCAGCAGAGGCTTTGCAGGCTGGATGCAAGACAAGGTAACTGGAGCCTCAGCCAGAGAGAGACACATAGGTCTTTCTGACCTAAAACGAGCCGGCCACTCCCATGGGCCATAAACGCGCCCACCACAAGTTCCTCCGTTCATCAGAAAAATGGTGCTGACGAGGACGATAATGATGATGACGATGCGGGCCACCTCCGGGTTCCAGCATTCGACACGCAACCAAGAGCATGTGCCGAAATCCAGAATCCGAGCTCGTCAACTCGTCAACACGTAACCTCAAGACGAAGATGCCCTGACACCTTGCGCCCGAAGCTTCAAACCCATGAGTAAGACCCCCCCCCCCCAATCCCAAAATGCCAGAGCCCTTCGCCCGGAGGCCTGAGACAAGCCTGGTTTACGGCTGAGGGGTTCAGGGTTTTCAGCTGTTTGTGGAGCTTAAGGCCGATACGATTCCGTTTAAACCCAAAGTTAGTTCCGCAATCTGCAGAAGTTTTCGGGTTGCGAAAACCTCGCACCTCGAAATTATACAAGGGGGAGTAAACCTAAGAACTTAGCCTTCGGCTGGCTTGTTTCAGGTGGCTCCTTCAGCATCTCCGAGGTTTGGAAGCACCGCAGAGTGAGGTAAGACCACCGAAACAAGCACCAATCAGTTTAGGGCTTTTGGAGGTGGATGTCCAAGATCGATGTGTGAGGTTTATGTGTGTTCAATACTCGCCTAATACTCGCCTGTGCAATCCCCTTAAGGCATCCTTCAGGCTCTGCTGGAACTGGCAGCAACAACTTGATCTTGCAAAAAGCTATCCACACCTCCGTCGTGCTATTGTCTCGGGAGCACCTTTTGCTGCATGTCAGGTCTCACAGCGAAGTGCGAGTGGCGATGTGCCCGAGCAGGCCACCATAGTAGATTGTGCAGGGATATTTAGTAGTAG